GTTGCAGGAGGGGATCTGTCTGAGGGCTATACTCCTCGTCCTTGGAAATTTGTACACCTATCTGAAAAAGGCTGAAGTTAACGAAAGTATTCAATAATGTAACAAATGTTTCAACCCAGCAAACTCTCTTCTGTTCCTTCTGTCCCTCTTGCCTATGCCGAAGGCTGCTGCTCAGAGGCAAAACAGGGAATAGGGAAACATAGGTCACACAGGAAACAGTTTTTAAAGCAAATCAGAACATATCTCTGCACCACCATCACCACGCAAATTCTCACACACAAACCGCTGCGCACATCCTCCAGGCTCTGTTTAAAGCTTCTGAGCAGTCAAGGGGTATGGAAAGGGGTAGAGCGTTTGTTTCATTTTCAACTGCTCCAGCAGCAATTTCAAGAGAGCTGGACAAGCCAGGTTATAAAACATGTGCCTCAGAAAGTGAGGTACCACATCCTCTTTGCATCTCCGTTCTAGGATGCTGGCCAGAAACCCATGGTCAGCCATGACCACAGTCAGATGGTTCTTTTCCACAGTATTCTGGCTGTAGATTGGTCCACTTTATAGTCTGCTTTCACAGCTCTACTCCATTTTATTTCTAAGTAATAAGGAAAATATAGTCCAGTCATAAAATTATTTGTTACAACACTATCCAGAAATCACTTCTGCACTGAAATTTGGCTCCAATTTCCATGTAGGAAGTTTGAAACGTTATAGATAATTCATTGTTCAAAGTTAAACAGTCTTAATCTGATCCTTTTTAAGTGCGTCTGATTGTAAATCAGTATTAGTCGAGTTTTCTCATTTCTGAAAGCTTTGCTAATCTAAATGCTAATTGTCATGGAATTTTGCAAGCCACGAATACCCTTCTCACAGGTTTTCAAATGTCTATTAAGCTTCTCTATCACTCTTTTTAGCCCTTGAAGATATGCCAAAACACCATGTCAAATTATGTAGCTTGTGAGGACTTCCCAGTTGCATCCTGCCATATGTTATATGATGTGCCTTTTCCAATTACTGCACGTAGCAAGTCATGAGAAGTTAACTATTTCCATGTTGCGGGAGGAATTTTTGCTAAGTAACCTTCTATTTCCTTGCTGATTTAAAAATACTCTGAGATGCTAAAAATCAGCTTTTTCTTCCTTCCAAAAGTCAAATCGGATAGGAAATCAGGAATCTCCACTTCTGACAGAGAATTACTCCCATTTACAAGTCTTCTGGAAGGTTGTGCTTAAAGTAAAAAGAAAACACTCACCTTTCTGAAAGGTGCTCAACAGACGATCTCTATATTGTCCTTAATCTTAGCTTTCCTCATTTTTCCCCTTCCCTCTTGGCCTCTCCCAAACTCATTTTTAGCATTATCAGGTCTTATGCCACTCTCGATTGATTTCAAGAGGAGAGAATAAATACGAGTTATTTCTTCAACAAATAAAAGTTATTTCAAACAAGGTGTTGGGCCATGTCAGCTGGAAACAGAATCTTGCTTGGGGACAGCTCCACAACTCTTAAAGAGTGGCGACAAGTCCAAAGGGCTTTGGACTACCCCAGGATAATTTACCAAAGACTGGAGCACTAGGTCACAGTATTCCTAAGGCACTTTAATGTTAAAGTGTTTTACAAATTGGCCATTCAGCAGGCTGGAGGAGATCACAGAACTTGGCTAAATCCTAAGCAGTGAAGCCGTAAGAAGCCTGCTGCTGCGTACAACCCCAGGAAGAGGAGCAACTCAATGCTACCGCCTTGACTTCACCGCCCAAATGATGTCCAAGCCAAAAAGCAGGTTAGAGGTCGACCTTAAAAAAACAGGTATGTGCTGAAGTGTTCATGGACAAAAAAAGCCAAAGAACAAAACCCACCCAAAACTTTCACAGTATCTTAAATCATTTCTGTTTGCATGTCTCTTCCGTTACTTTCCTCTGAACATCCCACCACACAACCCTCCCACCATTTCATCCTTCTCACTTACATCACCGTAATTACAGCCCTGGCTGATCTCCTTTGTGCTGATCTCGAGATTCTTTCTTTGGTCTTGCCACCTACTCATTTCTGATTCTTCTCAGATAACAGAACGCTTGTCTCCTTCCCAGACCTCCCACCCTCCTTCCCCCTCTTCCTTGCACCATCCGTACAAGTAAGAAACCTAGTGTCTTCAAGAGCTCTTTGCGGCACTCACTGAAAGGCATTCCCAAACTTATTATCTCCATCCAGTAAAGACTACAACAGCTCTGCTGTGGGCCTGGTAAGATATTACGCTTGTGGGCAAAACATTCTTTGGATTAGGCTTGCAAAGGGCAAGAGTCTTAGCCTTCAGAAGTTTACTTTGAAGTCTGGCTGATTCAGGTTCCCTAAATCATCCTGCACATTTACTTTCAGCTAGAGCACATCTGTACGTCTCCATCGGAGAGCATTCACTCGGCACACAACACTTAGTGAGGCTGCCTACATGCGCATATATGGAGCCAACAGCGCGCTCGCCTTCAGTGGAAGAAGATACCTACTGTTCTCACACTCCATGTTATAAATTGCACGAGGACCAACAGTTTCCACACCGTTACAGAGCTTAAGGGGAAAAAAGGAAGGAAAGAGT